AATAACCCACAATCACACAGAACCTCTCTCTCTTTCTCTTACACACACACACACACACACACACAGATTTTCACTGGAATGTTATTTATGACATTAAAAAACGGGAAAGAAACTGAATGGCCAGCAATGGAACAATGGTAAGGTAAACCTAATGACTGATTATTCAGGTGACAGAAATATGTTACCTTTAACAAACGATTTTTCAAAGTTTTTTTTCTTAATACAAAAATGGGCAAAAGCATTGTATTTTTAGAGATGTAAAAATCGTAAAACTAGAAAGAAAAGCAAAGAAATAATTATCATAAAAAGTTAGGATAATGATAACCTCTGAGGAATGACAGAGTACAAAGGGTTTTTGTTTTTGTTTGTAATGGAGGTACTGGGGATTGAATCCAGGACCTGTGCGTGCTAAAAGCACATGTTCTACCACTGAGTTATACCAAACCCCCAAGGTTTTTTGGGTTTTTTTTGTAATGTTTGCCATTAAAATTTTGTTTTAATTATGATAAAGTAAAGTATAAAGTTTCCATCTTAATTAACCATTCTAAGTGCACAGTGCAGGAGTTCAGGAGTGTTAAGTACATTTACACTGTTGTATCATCAACCTCCAGAACTCTTTTTCATCTTATAAAACTAAAACTCTGTTAGTTGAACACTAACCCTTTAGCTCCCTTCCCCCCAGCCCCTGGCAACCACCATTCCACTTTCCATCCCAGTGAATTTGACTACTCTAGGAACCTTACATAAGTAGATCACATAGTCTTTGTCTTTTATGATTGGCTTATTTCACTTAGCACAATGTCTTCCAGGTTCATCCATGTTATACTGTGTTCTAGAATTGCCTTCATTTTCAAGGCTGAATAATATTCTATTGTCCATATATACCACATTTTGTTTACCCATTCATCCATCAATGGATATTTGGGTTACTTCTATCTTTTGGCTATTGTGAATAATGCAACTAGAACACATACAACTATCTCTTTAAGACTGCTTTCAATTCATTTGGGTCTATTCTCACAAGTGGAATTGCTGGGTCACATGGTCATTCTATTTTTAATTTTTTGAGGAAACACCATACTATTTTCCATAGCAGCTACACCATAAAGAGTTTTTAATAATAAGAGCAAACACTTTCATGATACTGTTAAGTGGGAAAAGTAAGCTATAATTTACATACATACAGCATAATCTCAATACATTAAAAAAAAAGCTTAGGAAAAAAGATTAAGTGGCTGCAGCATACATAAAACTGTTAACCAATAGTAGTGAGTTCCACTGGATGTTGGTAAGAGTAGACTTATATTCTCTTCTTTTCTCTAACTTTCTATGATAAGTAGACACTACACTGGCAGTCAGAAAAAAGGGGGGGTGGGAATTCAGTAGGACATTTTTCTTCCTGGTTATCACATCATCCATCGCACGGAGTCTGATAGTCCATATAGTTCACCACATTTACTAAAAGGAAACACACACACAGTTTTTTCCTTTTATAACCAAAGGCAACGCTAGATAACCAAACTGATTTCTAAAAAATTTTAAGCCCCAAATAATAGTAATTCCAACTCTCCGTCAAAGTAAATAAATCTTTTCTCGTCTTACTCTTACTTGACAGGGCTTTTTACAAGTTCTTCCTTTCCAGGCAGGGCCTGTGATCCAGCTGGACAGCAGAGCTGGAATCTGCACTCAGCAAGGGTAGCAGACCAGGCCATGAGCGGGACTGAGACGACTTCCTCTTCGATGGTGCCCACGGCCAGCGTCTCCAGGCCAGCAGCTGACCCCTATTCTCACTTAGTTTCTGGCCTAGGTCAGCTTAGTTTTCCTTCAGTATTTCGGAAACTGCCTTTGCACCAGGAGAGAGACAGTAAACTGGATTGAGGAGAGAGGGATGGAGGAATAAGGGGAAGGAAGGGACTTGAAGGATTAATGAGCTGATTTCCATAAAGGCTCTGACATCTCGGAATGAAAAGCGGCCTGTAAGAGCAGAAGTCCAGTCCTCTGCTCAGGCTGTGTTGCCAGCTGGCCATTCATCACCAAAAATTCCCCAGCAAATCCATGCCCATTGCTTAATCACCTCATATAAATCCCTATTAATCTCGCAAAGTCAAAACACAAATATATGACAAAAGTCTTTATTTTATGTGCCCTCAATTTCAGGGTCAAAACTTTAAAAACTGAATTGGTCATCCAATGGCTCCAATGAATTTTTTTTAACCTTTTTTTTTCAGAATTAAAGAACAAATAAATGACACCTTCACTGATGTTTTTGTACTTACTGGACTGAATAAACTCAAGCTAATGATCAAATAAACTGAAGAAGGAAAAAGGTGTTGGTGCTAAAATTTAAACCAACTTTTTTTTTTTGCAGTAACATTAATGTTTCATCACTATATTTAAAAGATACAGAAAATCCTTAGTAGGCACAAAGGAACATTTATTCCTCTTTCATTTGTAAATTGCTAGGGACATAAAGGAGCCTCTTTGCAGCAGCAGAGTTTGGAACACCCAGCACTGCGATGCCTTTCAGGGAAAAAAGGCAGATGAGAATGTGAAGAGGCACTGCTAGGACCCAGAAGGGCTCATCTGAGCCTGGGACTCCCAGCGCCAACAAACACCTCCTGGGACAACACTCTCAGAGGACCTCAAGGACAGGGCAGGCATGTGACAGGCTGAGGCTTCATCACTTACATCCGATTCTATACTTTCCTATTCAGGAACCTCAAGGTTATCCTGTCAGTGATGTGGATAATCCAGAAAAACTGACACGTGGCTTTGGGAAGGAAGCACTGTGCTCTGGCCATGTGTTTTCCTCCCAAACTCTATTCCAGGCTCTGAACACATCCTGATTAATATGGTAAAAGTGTGTTGGGGAGCAAGAGGAAGCCTCGCGTTACAGACCACCCATGGAGTATAAAGTTCACACTTGGATAATAAAGAGTTGACTGAGCTGGAAACATAAAAGTGGCTTTCCTAGACTCTGGGCAAGGAAGGTGGAAACCAAACCGGGCGAATTTCAGTGATTCATGCCTTTGTTTTCTAGAGCTGGAAAATCATGGAGAAAAATCAGAGCGCGGGAAGAGGCAGATGATGATGATGAAAAGACTGGTTAGAAAATTAAATTGTAACAGGGACCACAGGGAAAGCCAGGAGGACTTCTCTGGGTGAAGAGGAGGCTGGTGGCTCCTCTGTCACCCACCTTTAGGTGCTGCACAGCACGAAGGTTCATTCAGACGGTTGGCCTGTTACTCCGTCTCCTCCTTCCCACGGACTTCCCTGACTTAGGAAGCCAGCAGATGATGAATTTCTATAAGACCCATCAAAGACTAGCAAACTAAGGGGGCAGAAATCCCTTCCTTTAAGAACAAGAGATTTGCCAGCCCTGGATGGAAGCAGGTCTTCCAGTAGGTTGGATTTCCTGACTTCCTGATCCCCAGAAACAATAGCGAGGAGGATCTGGTCTGCTAATTGGTAAACAGATGAGAGCACAAATGTGATCACAATTCTCTGTTCCCCTAAAAAAGGCATCTTGGGAAGTTGTCTAAAAGCCTCACAAAAGGCAAATGGTTCTGGGCTCAGGGAAGCAGTTTATGGTCAATCAACTCCTACTCTCTAAATAAAAGAGAGAAAACAAAAATTGGACTGAAAATGAGAGGCTAACCATCACTTGACTGGTATTTCAGACACTAGAGAATTTCTCCAGCAGTATCCTTGGCCAAAGCCATAGGTACTAAGACAGACATGGACACTCTTGTTTCCACCCACTGAGAAATTCTTCACTGGCTCCCTTTTACCTAAAGGTTTCCTTTAGGACCTTTCACCGTGTGGCTTTCTAGTATCTCCTCAGCCCCATTCTCTGCCACATGTACCTTATACTGGTTCAATGTCAACCCCCTCCCCTGCCCTGACCCCACTAACCCCTGCCTCTCCTCTGGGCATCCCCTGTACCTCCTACACACACTGGTTATCATACTCACCGCATTCAATGAAAATTATTTATTTACACATCCTTCTCACCTCCTGGATGGGAGCTCCTTGAAGGCAGGACTAGTCCCTTCTCTACCATGGCATCCCTAACACAAAGGCTGTCACGTAGCCTATGCTCAACAAGACCTTGTTGATAACACTGATCTGTGGGCTGCACACTGCCCACTGTTTGCCTGCCTTACAAGTGGGGAGCCCAGCAAAAGTGAACACAAGCACATTTTTTGAAAAATAAAAATAGGCTGCCATGTTAGACAACCAAGATACTAATTCTTAATCAAAGGTGATATACTCCACTGGACCCGCTCCTGGACTTACAGAGGACACCACGGGGGGCAGGAGGCCCTGGCAGTGATGCTGTCCTAGCAATATTAAGTCCTGAGACACAGATTTTGAACCCAGTATTACAGGGAAGACTCCCTGTGTATTCGAGAGAAATGGAGAAAATCTTTTTGCTCCATCTTTCATACAGCAAATGTTCTAAGTTCTAGCAAAAAGTTATAATAACAAGGATGAAATAAAAATATGTGTCTGCCTGCCTTTGCCTTGCTTATTTAAGCTACTCTACTACCATCTAAAAAGGCAACTTCCATGTCTTTTTCTTATTCACCTGCGCTGGGCCCCTTTGAGCCTGCTTAAATCTTACACCAGTCTCTCATCTCCAAGTTGCCACCGCACTTAATAGTTTGTACCACATGATTTAGTCAATTACTGCCTTTCATTGATACACGGTCTAACACAGGCCTGGCCACATAGCAGGTATTCATGAAAACAAGCTGATTGGTGGACAGATAAAAAGCCATATTAAATGCCCCCCTAGCCACACAGCAGTTTCAGAAAAACTGTCAGGAATATATTTTTCTTTCTTTACCACAACCCAAAGTTCTGAAAAGATAAATACTCCAGTAAGTTTAGAAAACTCATGCCAGTGACTTAAAACTCCCCCAACTAGAAACAGCATTTCTCCAATGTATTCCTAACCCCTGATAACTTGTTGCTTGTGTGGGGTTTTAACATACCTCTTGGCCAGCCAGAGTTTGGCTTTGGTACAAGCTGCGACGTCAGCCAGCTCCTGCTGAAAGTATGTATTCATTCTGTATTTGGAGTCTGAGAAGGCTTGTAACAAATGAAAAACCTAAACCAAAAAAAGAGAAAAAGCAATATCCTGCTGTGAAAATATATTTTTCCTCAATGTTCAGTTCCTCCCTTTTAGGTTTCCTCAAAATATTCCCCAAAGAAAACAGACACCTGCAAACTGTGGCTCTGGTCTCTCTGCAGAAAAGCATGTTAGTTTTGGAGGACGCATCTAGTGGTGAGAAACCTACATCTTTAATTCATACCTGTGCTCTGGGTTCCCTGCACGAATCCAGAAAAAGGTGACTGCTCTGTGACCAAACAGTCATTTGATACAAGAGCTTTTTAGTTACAAACAACCTAAAGGTGATGCCAGCAAAAAAATGCAAACATCTTTCTCTATCTTAGCAGTCTCATATAAAAAAAAATGTGCTTTTAAAGACAAAATCTTACTACATAGGAGAAATCAATTGTCTGCATGCCTAACCTGGTTTACACATCGGGGTTTATTAGAAGGCTTGGCTACAGAAGCAGACCAAAGTGATGCTTGCCTTTGCAAATACTGGACAGTGATGTTTGTAAACGATTTAGACTTTTTAGATCTTTGCTGAGATGCCAGGAACGGCATGTGAACACAGCCCACCTTCTTACTCTTACATGACATTATATATTAGAATTAGGCAGAGAAAGACAAATCCTACTGTATCTCTCAAGCTGCCTATATTTAGAACAAAGGCTACAATTCAGCAAACACACACAGGCTGTGTGCGTGTGTACATGTGCGTGTGTATTAGCACGCACACGTAGATGTGTCCTGGAGTCACTCAGTGATGACATCAACAGGGCCTTTGTGAGAAGTAGAAACCTGCAGCAGAGAAGGGAAGTGGACAAGGGCATAAATGAGATCCTCTGACCCTAGCTAGTGTCAAGGAAAAAGACACATGTCAGAGAAATCCTTCTGTTTATCTAAATCAAGAGGAGGAGGAGCATGGAGCAAAGCAAGTACAGATAAACACAGCCAGAACTTTGAAAGTCTATTTTTTTAAACTTTTTTTTATTGAGTTATAGTCATTTTACAATGTTGTGTCAAATTCCAGTGCAGAGCACAATTTTTCAGTTATACATGAACATACATGTATTCATTGTCACATTTTTTTTCGCTGTGAGCTACCACAAGATCTCATATATATTTCTCTGTGCTATACAGTATAATCTTGTTTACCTATTCTGCATATGCCTGTCAGTATCTACAAATTTTGAAATCCCAGTCTGTCCCTTCCCACTCCCTGCCCCCTTGGCAACCACAAGTTTGTATTCTATGTCTGTGAGTTTGTTTCTGTTTTGTATTTATATTC